ATGACAAATAAATATGTAAATAATGTAAGTAAAGATCTTTAAAGTTCTACTAAGAATTTAAATTCAAATATTTTTGGAAATCTACAGTAAGGACACTAAGGAAAATATAGTAAGTACAAAATTATTAATTATGAAATAGAAAATCTGAATAGGGAAATTAAGAGCAAAAGAAATGGAAGGTTATCTGAAAATCTAATTTTTAAAAAGCTGCCTAACTGACCTTACAAGGGAATCCTACAAACTTGGAACCAATTATTTCTATGTAGCATGAATGGACTCAGAATTAGAAAGACTGTGAACCACACCCAGTTCATTGTTCAGGTGGACAAAATCAGGTGAGGATTATATAAAAAAGAAAATTACCATGGAAGGTAATCCCTTAAATAAAATATCAACTACCACACTCTGACTTTTCCTAAGGCTTTTTAGGATGCCTGGACACACTTAAGATTGCTCATGCATGGGCTGGGAAAGTGGCTCAGTGGTAGAGCGTTTGCCTTGCATGCATGAGGCCCTGAGTTCGATTCCTCAGCACCACATAAGCAAAAAGAAAAAAGTGGCGCTGTGGCTCAAGTGGTAGAGTGCTAGCCTTGAGCTAAAGAGCTGAGGGACAACGTCCAGGCCCAGAGTTCAGGCCCCACGACTGGACTCCCCCCCCCAAAAAAAGAAATAACACTAGCAATATTTTAGTTTATTCCAGGAGTATAAAATTACCTTAATGTCAGGAAAAATCTTCATGTGTTTTAGCACAAGAATAGATAAAGAAGAAAACATGATTACCTTAAGAAACAAAGGGAAGGCATTTAATAAAGTTCAACATTCAATATGGTATAAACCAAAAATCCTATTTAGTGGTAGATATGCCCTTGTAAATGCAATGAATTAAAGAGAAATAAAGTAAATAGCATTTGTGCCAATGTAATATATACACATACTATTGTGTATTATCAAGAGTGAGAGTAGTATGAAATAACAGATTACATATGGCAGGGATTGAGAGGCAGGGAATGGAGTCACAGATGGGGAATAATATAAAACAAAAAGCAATTTTCCATTAGCCAATAACATGCCATGAATGACCTAGGTCTCATTAACTTAATTCAGTAAATACAGGAATAAAGAAAACAGGGCTGGGAATGTAGCTTACTGGTAGAGTGCTTATCTAGCATGCATGAAGCCCTGGGTTCAATTCCTCAGTACCGCATAAACAGAAAAAGCCAGGAGTGACACTGTGACTCAAATGGTAGAGTAAAAAGTAACTCAGGCACAGTGCCCAGGGCCCCCCCCCAAAAAAAAACAATTTATAAAGCCTGAAGATCCCGTGAGCCTTTCCATGTGTATTTTCATGAACATCTTAATTCTCTTACTGTTAGCCTTGACTCAGAAATCGTGCTTGCAGCAGGTCACTAAAAGAAAACAAAACAGTAATAAAAATAACATAACACCACAATCACTTTGAAACATGCAGTAAAACTGTCTCACTCTAGATGCTCTAATCCATCATGTTTATGTTCCGCTCCTCCAAGATGTGCCCATTACACACTGATTCTAAGACAAGATCATTCCAAAAATGGTTGTGGCGAACTAAGTGTGTTTTGTGTATGGGTAAAAACAAACATAAAACTCACCATATTCTGTCTTATTCAAGCACCCAGCTGACGACCTAGGGTACACGTTCACATTGTTGTGCAACCCAATTCACGTATCTGATCCTGGACCCTCACACGGACTGCTCATGACACGTTTTCACTCCACAGCTTTTCTTCTCCACAGCTCTCAATCTCGTTTTCATTTGCTATTCCCCTTCAGAAGCCCTCATTTTCTATATCCCAGATCACCCATGGCACGATCAAAATGCATGAACTATCCCGCAGCCCAAGCTAAATCCTGCATTCGCTGACCTGCGTTCAACATGAGCTGTCCATTGTGAAAGTAACTGAGGCATGAGGCATGGCTTCTTCAACTGGAAGACACCATCTATTCTTTCTTATGGGGATTTCAAGCTCCATTGTCCCTTTACTCAGGAGGAAATGCTCCTTATTATGTATATACCACCGCGATCTACGGGTTTATAATGAACCCTGTAAATTAAAGGCTTTGTTCCCATAACTAAAATGCAATCCATTGTCATAGCAGAGACACAGTATTTATCAACAGATACATAGCACAACTGTTTTGGCCCTCATTAACAGTGATAGAACTAGAATTGCTTTTGCTCCCATCAATCTGCTACATATGGCTCATCCTAGCAACAACCCTGTCTCAGATCATTATTAATATTTCAAAATGCGAGGGATCTGGAGTGACCCAGGTCACGCGGCCATCAGTGTGACAAAACTGTATGCGAACATTACAACTAGCTATTATTTTCTCTTTATGGCTTATAGATATTTAAAAAAAAAACACTACGTTTGCCCAAGAGCAAATTTCTTCTATGAATCTGTCAGCTGTTTAAAAATAGATTGTTTTGTAAGTGAGAAAACAGGCATGTTGGATTTCATTCTGATCTCCTCTGGCTCCACTGCTGGAAAAGGAGGCCTTCTGGCTGAGACTCAGGACAAGGGCTGGAGCATGGAAGGCGTAGGAGGGACAAGATGATCAGCACAGTCCAGTTCATTCACGTCTGAGTCTACTGCAGGGGAAGCACATCTGGATGGCTTGGGGAATGAAGTTTTCAGGATAATTACCGCACAGGCAGAAGCCCCGCCATTAAGAAGCCCCGGGAGCAAAGGAATGGCAGGCTCCGCGCTAAGCAAGCACACTCAGGGTTTTTCAAGCTGAAGTTATATTTAAAACCAATTGGTACTGCAGTTCATTTCACAAAAACCACTTCATAGCTTCAAGAATCCCCTGTGAAACACTAAGTGCCAGCACTACACATTTACATTTCTTCTTTTTAAGTTGGAGAATAAATAATGAACTAATCGCTGCACATCATGTCTTTCTACAGACCTGCATCAGACCAGACTTGCTCATTCGCTAGGATGCCAATCACTGTACAAAACCCTTCACGCAAGCTTCATCTGCAGAACAACAGAGCTCTACTGTACAATGAAAGTACAAAATGGAGGATTCAGCCACCAGAGTGGCCATTCCATGACAAAGACTTAAAATTCTCACTGGAAGCTGAAATGTCCTTATCTGAATGGCACAGCTCAATAGTTAAAAAAAAAAAAAAACTGATATATTCATTTACCAGGGTGTGTGGAAAAATTCTCAGGCACAGAGCAGTGTCTGGTCCCTAGGACTCTCTTTCCCCAGACCAGCATCTTCACATCTATTTCTGCAATACTTTACAACATTCCTGAGAGCTGAAGTAAGCAAAAAGACCATCTTGACAAAATTTTAGCTGGAAACACTAAGTCAGGTCAAGGGCACACTGTTGTTTGTGACCTTTCCCACTTCAAAAGCATTAAATGAACACTACATTAAGATAATGCCCCGTGATCAACACTAACCAATCACAATGAAGAATAAACCTCCCGGAGGTGAGTCAAATCCTTGATAAACATTAGATGTTAATTGAAGGTGTTCCTGGTGGCTCATCTCTATCATCCTAGCTACTCAGGAAATTGAGATCTAAAGATTAAGGTTGGAAGCCAGCCAGGGCAGGAAGTCTAAAATATTTGATCCCCAAAATAACTGGTGAAAAGCAAGGCTGGCGCTGTGACTCAACTGGAAGAGTGACAGCCAAACATACAAAACTGAGCGAGTATTGAGGCCTTGAGCTCACACCCCAGTAGCAGCCAAAACAAAACATGCTCATGATGGCCTAAGGGATAAGTTCAGAACCACAGTATTTAACAATTCTTTGTGTTAGGAACCATTATTAACTTTATAGAAATGGAAACTGAGACTCAGACAAATGAATTTACCAACGTCCAACATCCTTGAATACATCAAAGAACTTGGATTTGAACCCATAGGTTGATTCAAAACCCCTGTTCTATTTACCCGGTCTGGCTTTCCAAACCACTAATGTTACCCCATCCCATTCCAGAGAGGAGAAATAGCACAGGAAAATCATCGGACCTAAATTTTCATCCACTCATACTTACTAAGACATGTGAATTCTAAGCCTTCACTTTCTTCTTTGGAAAAAGTTACATTAAAATAGCTCTCTCCACTTATTCGCTTGTTACGTAAGTGACACAAGTTAGGACAAGTTTTACTCAAGGAAAAGGACTGTAAGATTCTTCTTCTCCAGTCTGTATCTGTAACGATCACACTTGAGGACTATATTACTGCGTTATCCTATGATCGAGCAGGGAGGCAACTTGAGATGATCACAGAAGTCTCCTCTTCCATTAGGGTTAGTTCTCCATGAGAGCATAATTCCCCTATTCAAATTCCTCAACTTCAGAGGACATTTGTCAGAGTGAGGTATACAGTGAGCCCTGTGTTCCCATGACTCCACAGCACCCAGCACACTCACCTTATGCTGCGGTCTAGGTTGCATCACCTTGGGAGGAATCCATTCCGACTGCAATCCCATCTCAGCTACACGCCAGCCAGCAGGCCCAGAGCGTCAGCTATTCACATTCTGGGACCCTGGCATGCTGACTGCCTGAACATATCACCCGGTCAGTGAACCAAACCTTGGGGGTCCCTTAGAGAACTTCTAATCGCACTTGGATTTCATGAAAGCCAGTAAAAGTCTATTCCAGAGCAGTCTAGATAACAATCAGCCCAAATCCACTGCTTCAGCCTAAGCTGTGGACTTGTAAAGCAAAAGATAGTTAAGTGTGCTTCCTGGTAGACATAAGAAACATTCCAATTACATTGTGAGGATTTAAACATTAGCATACTACTTCTTTTAAAGGCCATTTTTCATACATATTAAATATTAAAGCCCTTTAAACAACTATTTAAAGATTTTTTTTTAAATACAGTAACCCATAAATACAGGAGAAGAATGGGGCCATTGTCTCCCCCTCCCCCAGTGACTAAACCACTAAAGAATAGATGGTACACAGAGTTTGCATTTCAATAGAACTAGCTTTATTATTTATTTTTAAACAAAAGAAATGATCTAAAGCAAACGAAGGTGTGTACCAAGGGATGGGCAAAGCCTGGTGCTCACACAGGAGCTGCTGTATCATAATGGGGCATGAAGAGAAGAGTAATCTGGAGATGCAAGTTAACTAAAAGAAGGTGCTGTGCCGGCATATCAGCATAGAGAAAAAAGAAGAAAAAAAAAAAGGAAAGAAACCACTAGAGGCGCTTCCAGAGAACTTTGCTGTAGCGGCCAAGAACCAGCGTCAACTCACTGTCTTCTCATTCTCCCCATTTTCTATAATTTTCCTCTTCTTCTCATCTGTTTTTTTCTTGAAGATGTTATTTCGGTAAAATTGAAGCTCTTTGATGCTTTCACTAATGTCATCAAGGGCCCTACAAGCAAACACACCACACTCAACTGAATGTCCAAACACAGGGAATGAAAATTATTCTGTAAACATAACTTTTTTTTTAAATAAATAACTTAGGGACGAGTTACTGCAAATCCAACTATCTGGCATCACAAAGAAGTGGATCTTTCTTGGCAAAGCCATTTTAAGTATTTTGTTTTTTACAAAATATTTTCATCATTTTATATAGATTAAAATTTCCAAAACTGTTTTCTAAGGTGATGATGGAATTTCCCTCCCTGGTCCCTGGGGGGAAGTTAGTTCAAGGACAAATAAAGAAAAACTAGATTAAACGTGTATTTTCAGAAGTTTTCTGTGAAACATTTAATAAACTAATAATGTGTACAATGAAGCTAGACATCTATACGATATTTCTAAAACTTAATGGACCATCTTTATGGATACTTATTAAAGTTCATAAAACACTGCCCAATACTAAATGATGTCCCTGTCCCAAATATACTTGAACATCCTTCATGACTAAGTCATTGCAAGAAATATCAACGATCAGCTCAGACAGTAAACAGCCATAAAAGGGGTTCTACCCCCCTCGCATGGTGATTTGTGCTGTAATCAGTGGCCACCCCTCTCCAGCTGACAACCCTTCCTCTCCAACATGCTGTTTTATCTGCTATAGTACGAGAAATCAAATAACCAACATTGTTAGAATAACGTTCAACTAAATCACTAATCTCTGAACAATGGGCCAGAGGCCTCTGAAAGAGAACTGTACAAAGTTTACTGCAAGTTTTATCACAGGTATTTCTGTAACTAAGTCAAAAATCTGCTTTCTTCTCAGGTCCTAGAGATATGGTACAGAGCTAAAGGCTTTCAAAAACACAGCCTCTGCCTAAGTAGACGTACACAAACTCACACCCAATGTTAACATCTACAATGGATTTCAAATCCTGAAGTACTTTTATAAACAACTCTGTGGCAAAAGCCTGACATTTTTACCATTTGGTAAAAATATCCACATTTCACATCTTATAAAAATATCTCTAATAAGCCGGTGGTGGTGGCTCACGCCTGTAATCCTAGCTACTCAGGAGGCTGAGATCTGAGGATCGTGGTTCAAAACCAGGGCAGGAAAGTCTGTGAGATGCTTTCTCCAATAAACCACTCAGAAAACCAGAAGTGGCGCAGTGGCTCAAGTAGTAAGACTGCTAGCCTTGAGCTGAAGAGCTCAGGGACAGCTTTCAGGCCCAGAGTTCAAGCCCCATGACCGACAAAAAAAAAAAAAGATCCCTAGTTCTAGTTCTTCACCGAAATGACTGTTTCAACATGGAAAACCTCCTGAAACCTCACCAAGAGTGACATTACCTAACATAAACAATACAAGACTATTGCCTTGCTTAAAATAAAAGTTAAAACACCCAAACGCTACCAAACCCCATCTGTTTCAGGCAGAGCTGAACTACTCTTTAGGCATGCCCAGTAAAAACCCAGGAGGATGCCAGGCTTCTAAGCTTGAGGACTGGTCTTGCTCTGACTGTATGATGCTATCCTTGGAAGACTACCCTTAGAGACCCAGGCAGCAGAGGCCTGTAATCCTAGCTACCCAGGAGGCTGAGATCTAAACATTGTGGTACAAAGCAAGCCTGGGCAGGAAAGTCCATGAGACTCTTATCTCCAATAAACTACTCAGAAAAAGCCAGAATTGGTGCTGTAGCTAAGTGGGAGAGTGCTAGCCTTGAGCAAAAACAACTCAGGGACAGCACCAGGGTCCCAAGTTCAAGCCCCAGGACTAGCAAAAAGAACAGAAGACTATCTTTAGAAGCTGAACACTAAATCTCCCACCACATTTTATGTTTCTAAACAGCTCAAAAAATAAAATAGGTAATATAAATTAAATGATAAAGAACACTTGATGCATCCACCTTTAAATTTCTTGTGCAATAATACTTCATGCCAATGCTATGAACACACCAAACAAAAAACAACTGATTGTCCATCTGTCACAACTGTACTATACAAGAGAATTCAAAATCTTCTAATTCCAAGTCCTATATCCTCTGCAAGAAGAAAATTAATGTTGCTCACTTCTAGAAAGACAACACGTTGTATCATCATACCTACACATCAAGTTAATACAAAAACAAGGAATACTCTAGATAATCCTAAGAACAGAATCTAGAAATCTCCACCAGACTTAACTAAAGAAAGGTATCTTTTCTGCTGGTCATCCTTTATCTTTCTCTGAGAGGGAGATATTATTTCAAACAGCCCAAAACTGGGAATTCTGTTATCAGTCTGGCACATACTTGAAGACCCAGTCTTACCTGTGAGAAGCAGCCTTCTTTGGTGCAAATTCATATTCTTCTGGATACCAGCGTCTATACGTGGTAGAAATGGAACTCTCAAAGGAAACTGTCTCAGACACACTGAATAATTACCTTCTTCAAGTCATTTATTAACATTGAAAAAGGCATTTGTGACTTTGAAGAGTTGTGACTTTCAAATTGCCTCTTTGCCAGTGATTCTATCTTCCACCCTTCCCTCTCTTGTATGTTCTCTTTGAGCAAGCCCACCAGTGTATAGGATTCCTCAGTCTCCAATGACAGCCCAACCCTCTCCAGAGTTTTTGTCCCAAGTGCCTTACTGGGGATCACCACCTAAAAATTCACCAGATAGTGCCAAATTTAATATCTACTCATTCTTGTTTCTTTTTAGTCTTTGAACCATCCTGATCATCTACCTAAGCTGCCTCACCTAGAAACACCAAAAATCTTCCTTTTCTTCACTCCCTCACTCAAACTTTCAATGTTGTACCAACTGACCTGCTCAAAAGTTTCATCTCCACAACCCTCCTGACCACCCAATGGCCACTTCCCTGGCTCATTCTTTTCTCCAAGATGAAGCAAAATCTCCCTCCCACTTTGCCCACTCCATTCACTGCGACCCAAAGGACTTATCCCATCACCATTGCTTCTGAAACCTTCCCAAAGAAATAGATAAAACCAACCCCTCAGCATGACCTGACCTGACCTTCCACCTCTGCACCCTCACGTTTCTGCACGCCAGCACTAATCATCTCCAATTCCTTGTACACACTGGCTTTACCCTCCAACTCCCTAACACCTCTGCTGACTGACTCTAAGCAAAGTTCTTTCCTCATTTATGTATGTAGTTCTTTCTTCACTTACACATCGCACCTTCTTTAAATCTTAACTCAAAAGCTACCTGCTACTTCCAAATTTCCCCTCCTGGAGTACACAGAGGCTCTTTCCCTAATCCCTCAAGAGTCCATCACATTACACAAGTCAACTTGCTAGACTCAAAGCTTCGTAAGAGCTTTTCATCTATGGGCACCTAGCTGATAATCTGGCTAATGTAAGGCACACAATGAGTGCGCATCAAGTTACCAAAGGAATATCCCAAGGCTCACCATTCAGGACAAGTGAGAATGGGAGGAGGAAAATACACACCAGCTTAGCACCTCGCTTCAGCCTTACTGTTATGGTCTACCAATTCTCGATGAAGACATGCTAAATGAAACAATTTAATGGATCCTACATTGAGCCCTTACCTGCACAGTTCTTTAACAGTGCTCACATCAATTATTCTATAATGAAGATGTTTCATGAACTGGGGCATGTATTTGTCAAGAAACTTCTTATCTGCATGAACTGAATTTCCTAGAAAGACATGAAGCATACTGCATCTATGGATTTCTAGTAGTAGAAATATATACAGCAAGGTATAAAAGCTCTTTTAAATTGCACTCTATTCTAAAAGCATTTCTACATCAGTTTGAATAAATTACAAGTGCAGAATCCCAAGCATTTCAAACTATTGATTCAGTCTACGCCAAAATAAACTTACAAATGGTCTCCCGTGGACAAAAGAATAAAGCTATCATTACAGGACAAAAGAATAAATCTATCATTATACACACTTTTAAGAAAGCACATATCTGTGGCTTTTCCAGGTCATTCCAAATGTGCAAGCTTTCTCCCAGGGTCACAAAATTCACACTAACACTCATAATTTAACTGACTTGTAGTAAATAAAACTTTATTTACATTCCAATTTTTTGACAAGTCATATCTATATTCATGTTTCCATACAATGGTTTATTTGAAAACACTAAAACTGTAATAAAAACTTTAAAATAAGACATCAGCCATGTTTGCTGGGGAAAACCTTTTTACAATATATCCTCTTTCTTGAGCTTAATGCCAAAACGTTTTGTGTGTATTTAAAGGAAACTTTAGTTACCACATGAATTTACATACACAAATGCAAATATACCCCCACAGAACATCATCAATTGCCCTCTGACAATGTCAACCTTTAAAAAAAAATCCTGGGCTGGTCTTTTTATATCACAAGGGGGAAAAAGATAAGAGGTAGAGGGTTTTAGATCAACAGACTAAAGAGACATAATAACCAAGTCAAATGCATGAGCTCTGATTGACTCCTGGCTTTAAAAACACTAAGACATTCAGAAAGAGCATCAAATGTAGACTAGGCATCACAGATGGAATGATTTTTAATCATTTTCAACACAGTAATGACACTGTATTAAAAAGAAAATGATGTCCTTCTTTCAGAAGATACTTGATGAACATCGTTATTTTAGGAATGTGGGTCACAATGTCTGTAATTTCTTTCCGAAAGTCAAAAAAAAAGAAAAAAGTAAAACCAACACAGCACAAAGTTAACAATTACAAAACCCAATTTCTCAGCACATTTGAAATTTTTGTGAAATAAAAATATGGGAGGGAAAAAAAAATCATCTACTGAGTTCATCTCTGTGCTTCCCAGATCTAAGGTCAAGTTTCAGGACATTTCCCCTTACATTCCTCAAGGAAAACTTGAACCCGAGAGTTGAGAGACAATCCAAATCAGAATTAAGTGGAAGACACGGCTGGTCTTGCAGGAACGGCAGTGTGCTGACCCACCACAATGGCAGACTATCTACAAGATACACATAGGATTGCATTTTACCTGCAAGCGGACAGAGCCCCGGAGGAGTCTGCTGCCGTACAAAGGACAGAAATTCATACTCTGCCTGCTGCAATGTGATTGTACTCTCCTTCACTGCCTTGGTAAGACCAGACTGCAAGAGAGAATCCCCAACCCCCACCAGAAACACATGAAGTCAGTGTTCAAAGGTATCCAGAAATGAAACTTCACTTCTAACACGAGCAAATATCATCACTCTTTGGTTCTGTTTTTTTAAGAGCTCAAGTTCGAATGGGAACTGCCATCTTTATACCGATTGTTTCTTAAAAGAATCCAAGACAAGTAAGTTATGTTCCTCATTGGCTAACAGCCAATCTCCACACAGTCAAAAAAAGAATGTTGCTCAAAGTCCGAGGACATAACCTCTGGGAAGACACACACTTAATGAGAGCGCATTCCCCTTTCTCTGAGTTGATGTCTAACCTTATCCAAAAGACTGACTTGAGTAATACTTGACAATCCACAATGCGTTCATTTGCGACAGACTGAATGCAGCAGAGAAAAATAGAGGACTTTCAGGAGAAGATCTCGAGAGGGCCCAGAGATGAAAAGTAAAGAGCAAGCAGTTTCCCAGGCTTGCCAAGCAATCTTCCTCTAACCCTTTTTTTAAATTTTGTTTTAATACCATCCAGCAATGGAATAGGATTCAGATGTGGGCGCAACAAGCTTGTTACTGATCCCCAAAGCAGCAATCTTGTTATTTGGTAATGTTACCTTCCCATGATGCTCCTTACACCAATCGGACATGCTGTCCAGCAATTCATCTGGCTGTTTTATAATCAGGTTGGGACCCTGTGGATAGGACAAGCCATTAGTCGCTAAGGATTGATAGGAATGAGCTTGCTTTCAGAGGTACGCATTTAAGGACTAAATGAATTTACCTACCAGAGAAAACAGGCGTAAGGACACTTTGTGAACTCCACAAGTAGTACACGTGGAGGCAAAAAGGATACAAAAACAAACCAACACACACACACATCCTTCTGAAAACCCCTCTAATGGGCAACATGGATACCTACAACCAAAAGTCAGCAAACCACAGCCCCCAGTTTTGGGGATTTTTTTATGATGCAAGCTAAAAATGATTTTATATCTGTAAAAGAATAAAAAAAGAGAGGTATTTGGCATGCAAAGCTTAAAATATTTAATAGTTGAAAGTCTGCCAACCCCTGATACAAGTTTATTTTGAAAGGCATCAGGACTGACAAAAGAAAATACACACACTACAGCTGGAGAACCAATAGATTATAGTACAGGTACTTTGAATACATTATGCTTTTTAATATTAACGGTATTTTAATGTTTATGTTTTTTTTGCTCAAGGAACACAATCAAGGTTCTCCCCAATAATTCATCTACAATGCTTTGTCTTCTCATCTCTTTTCCTCATCCAGGAAATAAATGAAAAGTCTAAACATGAGCCATTTCTGCCCTCTGGTAACTTATTTTCACAGGACTTTTCCACAGACCTCTCTATTTTGGGACTACAAAGTTTTTCTTATATTGTTGTTTAATGGCTCCAAATATTGCTGACAGTTACACAGAGTTATTCAAGAAGAGAGCCTTCTTACCAATCAGAGGCAACATGAACTTATTAAAATGTTTCATGAGTGGCTGAAATGTAGGTTTGTTTTATTTAATTTAATGTTGCAGTGAACAGCAGTTTGCAAAAACCTTTACCATGCATGCCCCGTATGTCAACAAGAAAGCACTTTCTGAATGTGTACCAACAGAAATCTTAGAATCTTAATATAGATATAGAAGAAAACACATTCTGGGTGAAAAGGCAGCCAACCCTCTATTACCACAAGGTCCATAAGTAAAGATTCAACCAACATCAGACTGAAGATTTGGGGAGATGAAGGAAGTCATGCATTGCTATTGTGTGTACAGAAACTTCTTGTTACTTAGTATAACCACCCTTTACACAACATTTACATTTCAGTAGGTAACTGACAATACACATCCTAATTAGAATAAGTAACCTAGTCTAGAGAGGATTTAAAGCATAAATGAAGAATGTGCATAGATCACATGTAATATTTTCTCAGTTTATATAAGGGACTTGAGCACCTGCAGATTTTGGCTTCCATGGGTAAGTCCTAGAATAAATGTCCTCTAGGCTTAAAGGGACCACTACATATGAAATCACGTGAAGGCTCAGGTTATGACATAAAGATGGACACTGAGGCAGCAACCACAAAACCGATGGGACATTTGTTGGTTATCCTAGTACTGTAGGAGAGGCGATTAGGAAACTTTACTGAACAGCCTTATTTAAGTGACTAGCTTCCCCAGTAACCAGCCAGGTGGCCTTTGGCAAAATACCCAATACCTTCACCTATTAAATGAGCGTTATTATTAACACAGTACCTACCTTAAAGTTGTTGCAAGGGCTAAGAGAACTATCACTGGGACATAGCTCCTAGCAAACAGCAGTTTCTGTAAAATTTTGGCACAGCCAGTTGAAAACCAGTCTATGAGATGAAATCACTTGGGTCCTAGTATCAAGTCTACCATGGTCTAACATATTCCTTTGGACAACCTATTAGGACATGTGTTTGCTTATTTTTCAAAGAATGAGATTAGAAAAAAAGTGAAATTTGATTTCCAGTACCCTCCCCTCTAAATAGTATGGCATCACCTACTTCAGCCAAAATGTTAAGATCAGAGTCAGTAATCAGACAGGCCATCTCAATAATCTGGTCCTTCTCAATGTCCAATCCTGTCATCTGCAATAAAAAATAAATTATAACATTCCAAAATTCTTTCTGATCTCTTCTACCAGTCTATTTCACAGGATGGTCCTCATACTTACTCTACGTATACTATATAGCCAGAATAGAAAAGGGCATTAAATCTTGGGCATTAAATCTAAGTCCTTCAATATTCAACAAACATACTTACCAAGAGCTTGCTATTTGTCAAGCACTGCGTTTCTACACTGGGACAGATGAAGAGTAAAATTCAGACAGCACTCAATTAATCACTTCATCTCTGAAGTTCACAGTGTCCAATTTATTACAACTCTCCATCTTCATTTCCTCCATGAAATGAATTCGCCTCATTTCATGGAGGAGAAGACCGAGGCTCAAGGGAAAAGGGAAGGCCAGGTATGTTAAAACGCCGGCGATCAGGAGGAGAGTTCTGGTCCCTGAACTCACAGAGCGTGACCTTGAACCAGCTGAATCCTCTGTTTGGGCCTCAGCTTTCTCTTCTATGAAACGAGCCATCTCCGGACTCCCAACTAACCAGAACCACCTGGAGTGCTCAGAAAGGCAGGGGAGGGCGACCCTCCCCACCCCCACCTGTGGCCCTGAGCCTGGAGTGTCGGGAGAGTTGGGAAGTACGCCTACATCAGGGCAGACATATGGACAACTTCTCCCCAGTGACAAGGCACCCCCGCTCCCCGCGCCTGCAGAGCCCCCGCCCCGCACCCAGGCGGTGCTCACCGGGGACACCTAAGACTCCCACATCCCCCCCACCACTCCCCAGCCGTCCAGCTCCGCGCCCCCCACCGCCCACCTGCAGGGCTCCACTTACCTGGGCTGCGCTCACCTGGGACCGCTAAGACCCTGACAACCACCCCCCAGCGCCCAGCGCCGGCCCCGCGTCTGCAGGGCTCCAGCCCCACCCGGGAGACCCGGGCGCCCCCCGCCCCGCAGCCGTGCCCCACACCTGCAGGGCCCCCCACGCCACACCTGGGCCGCGCTCACCTGGGCACCCGAGACCCTGACACCCGCCGCTCTCCCCGGGCGGAAGCCACCTCACTCACCTCCAGGTCCACCCAGACCATCCGCTGAGCCATGCTCTCCCCCGCCGCCATGGCTGCGCCACCTTCGCGGACACCTCGCGCCCCGAACTGCCCGCGCCGCCCACCCACACTCCGCAACAGCCTGGCGCCTTGGGAGCCGCCTAGCATCGCCCGGCACGAGCCGCCGCCGCCCCAGCCCAGCCGCCGGGCCGCGCGCAGGCGCTACAGTCGCTAAACGTCGCAAAGCCTCGGGGATGGGAGGAGGGAGGTGAAAGAGCAAAGACCACAAGTCCCTGCATCCCGCGCGCCAGATCTGCCTCCGCGGCTTGATTCGGCTGCCGAAGGGGCTGATGGGACTGGTAGTCCTGCTGTGGACCAGCAGCTTTCCCCACCCACCCACCCCCACCCCGCCACGTGTTTTTCGGATGTGGCTGGACGCGCATGTTTTTCACAGCGAAGTTTGTTTGCTTCCAGGAGTTATTTCCTGAGTTTTGATGAATTCTAAATCAAGGTGTTGCAATAAGAAAGAAAGAAAACCGTTCTACTTCTAATGGTCAGGAAAAAAATCTGATTTAGTTTTTAAGTATGTCCTTCTTTGCTTACCTCCCCCCATTTTTTTTAAAAATTCATCTTCCTTTTCTTCCATAGACTAAGTGGTTTTTAGGAAATGAGATAATTGGTTTGGGGTTTTGTTTTTTCATTTACTTGGAACCCAAGAGCAATGTGCTATTTTGAGCTAGTGGGCCAATCCTACTGTCATTATTTACAAGTCCTTAAATGGGATCTTTATTAAGAGATCACTCCTCACGTGCCAGGAGTTATATAAAAGTCCCCTTTCCATCACTGGCAGAAGCCCATTCCTTCTGGAGGAATGTGAGCTGTGTTGCAGCTTAGTTGGTGTCATCTCCATCCTTCAAAGGTCTCAGTCAGCCTTCTGTACCATCTATATTACTAACTCAATTAAAATGCACGAAAACAGCTGTCCTCTCCTTTTGTTTTTAAACTGTTCTTAATCACCCATGACAGAGTTTCAGAGTTTCTATCATTTCCAGGAAGAGGGCCACCAAAAAAAAAAAAAAAAAAATTAGACTCTAAGGTGTCAAATTTGGTGAATCCCTTAAACTTTGATAGTTTGTTTGAAAGGGTGACTGTCAAAAATGTTCAGTCTTCTAAGTAATATATGCTATATTTTTCTGAAACTGCTCTGCCACAGGTTTCAAAACTAGTGATAGTGGCAATATATAACTCCTGCCTGAGAAATGTGTTTTCTGAGAAAGAACTTTGTTACCTAATGGGTGCTTTAAAGATAGTAAACTGGATTTCTTCTATTCTTTTGATATACTCAATTTGCCAAGGCCACAAACTGTTTAAAAGATTACTGAAACATATACAAGCATAAAGGCATATTGTGGACAATGCACATAGATAATGTATATAGTAACTGCTTTGCCTATTGAATCATTGTTTTGTACTGGTCCAGGGGCTTGAAACCAGGGCCTGCTAGATGTCTTTGGGCTTTTTTGCTCAAGGCTAGAGCTCTTCCACTTGAGTCACAGCACCACTTCCGGGTTTTGTTTTAGTTTGGTTTTTTGAGTTTATTGGAGATAAGTCTCAAGGACTTCTGGCCTGGCCAGGCCTCTAACTGCCTTTCAAATCTCAGCCTTCTGAGTAGCTAGGGTTACAGGCATGAGCCACCAACGCCCAGCCTATTTTGCTACTTTTATATGTGTCTTAATTTGTAAGAAATGGTCTCCATTTCTTAGTTTCTTTTAAATTTGATTCATAGAAAGTAAAATTGCTTGTATAGAAACATTCATGGGCTGGGTTTTAAGGATAGCTTTTTCCTAATCCTGTAAGACTCTCTTTAAGAGTAAGTGATCAAACCTTAAGAGGTTAACCTGAATTTGTAGCCTTGGAGTTCCTGAGCTTGTGGTTGCAGTCTAAAGTGTAGGAAATCTCAGAGAATTAATCCTTTAACTTGTAAGTTTGGCCTAACTCTAGATAGTGTCAGAAATGCAATGCAGTTAATCAAAACAAAATTTGAATTTTAGATAATAAAGGATTAACTTCTATTTTTTGACCAAGATGAAGTAACAGAGATAAGATTTACCATCTTCCAGAAACAATACACAGGCAAGAGTCTTAAGACAAAATAGATGAGGAACAAAAGACGGTGAGCCCTGAAAAATGAGAAACAAAAGTGAGCCCTAGGATTGCCTCAGCTAGCTACCCCGAGGGTACCTCCAGGCTGTAGGCTTGAGGCAGGGCAGGCTGTGTCCAGGAGCCCTCAATTTCCTGAGCTGAGAAACACCACTGGAAGTGGATAAGAAAACAAGGCAAACAGAACATCCAATACAAAAGAAGGGGCCTACTGGCTGCCTCTAGTTTCCATGAGAATGCCTATCAGCATACAGGGGTCAATCCGTAAAGATTCGTAATTACTCAGCAGTTATGTAACACCAGAACAGTATATTCTCACTTGCCAGCAGAAAATTCTGTAACTCATACATGGGACACCCATTCCTCGCCATGTCTTGCCTCAATTAAAATTAAAATTGAGGCAATATGCTTCTGAAGTCACCCAAAATACTGAAATCAAAGCCCTGAAAAAATACAACTTAAGTGTCTCAGAGCAAAGTTCATAAATATTTATAGAAACACAATAACATAATAATTCACAAGGACTAGCACACCATCAAATAAGGCACCCAATATCAGAGACTAGAACCAACCAAAGTAATTTAAATCGACATGTCATTCATGAACGTAGATCCAAATCTTACTGAAACAATATTCACATATCTGCAACACATTAATGGCACAATATACCATGACATGCAGTTTTTTTTACAATAGGATCTAATGGTTGTTCAGAATTTGGTCATTGTTCAGAAAATCTAAAACAGTTTTCCCTTCATTTTTACTGTCATCTTTGCACTCATTTTCCTATTGTGGCTCTACACTGACTCCTCTGAGGGTGTTCTGCTGAATCCATTTACAGGTTCTTATTTCAATTACTTTGAAGGTGTGAATGAAGAAGTCACAAGGAATCTTCAGTATGAAAGCCAGGAGGAGGAAAAAATTACTCTATCCATCCAAAGCCCATCAATATGGGCGCTGGTTTTATGTGTGGTGATGGGAATATTACAGGACTATAATTATAAAAGACTAATAATCTTCACTCCAATAAAGTATGAATATGAGCAGCATGAGCTTACTGAACAAATATCTCTGAAGTTAGTGATGCCAAAATAAGGACACATTCCTTTTTGTTTTTAATATATTAAAAAGCAACACGGTACAAATGCTGTGGGTTAATAGTAAAATGACCCAGATTTTTCAGAGTGAATTTTTATAAACAATTGTGCAAGGAAAAGGAAACATAACCTCGGTACAAAACATTTTCTAACAAGATTAAAAATTTTTAAATCAGAAAATGCTAACTTTCTTCCCAATCACGTACACACACGTGTACACACACACACACACACACACACACACACACACACACACACAGAAACCTGTACAAGCTCCATAATAAACTGTATCCTTACACCCCTGTTGTTTTGGGCACTTTATAAAGTCAAAAATGATGAAGTCTGACTGATAGAGGCAGCACATAAAGGCTTCCATGAACTTTTCCGAAAGAGAGCATTTTGAGTAAAACGTTTTACTATTTTACCTATGAATTGTTATTATTCTTAAAGAGATTTACATTAATACTGTAATTTTTAATGTAAAAATATACAAGTAGAGATATTTAGCTTCCTGAGTGGCCCATCTTACATGAAACATGATTTTTTGTTTTTTGTTTTTTTTGCCAGTCCTGGGCCTTTAACTCAGAGCCTGGGTGCTGTTGTCCCCTGAGCTTCTTTTGCTCAAGGCTAGAACTCTACCACTTGAGCTGTCACAGCGCCACTTCTGGCTTTTTCTGTTTATGTGGTACTGAGGAATCAAACCCAGGGCTTCATAAATGCTACACAAGCACTCTACCACTGAGCCACCTTCCCAGAGCCCATGATTTAATTTTTTAAAATTCTAAAATCTGCCAGACACAGGTGGTTCTGGCCCATAATCCTAACTACTCAGGAGGCTGAGATCTGAGTATCATGGTTTGAAGCCAGCCCAGGAAGGGAAATCTGAGGCTTTCATCTCTAATAAACTACCAAATAAGCCTGAAGTGAAGCTGTAGCTCACTTCAGAGCACTAGCCTTGAGCAAAAGCAGCTCAGGAATAGCACCCAGGCCCTGAATTCAAGCCCAAGACTAGCAAAAAAAACCAAACAAACAAACCCTAAAATTGTGAGTTTGAGCAGGCCTACAGCTCAAAAGAACAAAATTTGTACTTAAAATTACCAAGAAACTTAAGTCTATATTCTCCCCTCACCAAATGTAATCAATCTGCTTCCTCAAATAAAGTGTTAATAAAATGAATCACTGAAAAGTTGTATTTCCTTATTAACAAAATACATACAGCCATTTCAGACTATCAACTTGAATGATTTCTATTATATCCACAGAGATTAAGATAATCCTTGCATTACAAAAGGATAACAAATAATTAAAATATTTGCCTTATAATACAACCAATCTATACAATTCATCCTTTCTAATTGTCTAAAATTATCAATCAGAAACGGTAGCACTTTTTTTTGTATAAAACCCTTTCCTCTTCCTAAAACCCTGAGGTGAAAGGTTATTACGTAATAAAACTGGAACCACAGTTCTCATGTCTGCATGAAACTGCAGCTATGGGTTTTAAAACTTCTTATAAGAAATGTGCAACTTGTAAAGCTGCTCTGTACAGTTCTACAAAATGTCCAGACCAACTTAGTCACAAGGGCCTGAAATGGCCCTAAGACAATCTCATTGTACCACTTTCTAGTGCCGAGATAAGTGCCATTTTCCATCTCTACTAATGTCTCTTCTGTTATCGTAGTCATGGTTCCAGCCATCAGGACTCCTGTCTTCATAGAAGAAATCATCTCTGATTCCTCTGTAATGGTAGTCAGGCCCATGATCAGTGTAACGCGGTTGGCTATAATGTCTATCTGCTAGATAGGGATGGGAACTCTGTCTGACTTTGCGCTGTGATGACGGTGTATCCTGGCGCCACTGGGAGCTTGAAGACTGGTTAAAGTTATGACCATGTGACTGAACTGATGATGAAAATCCAGATTGATCCACACGCATAGAACCAAATTTCCCACCATATGACATCTGTCTCAAAACACTGTTCATCTAAGGGAAAACATAAATAAGGAAATATTAACTGCAAATTAGAAGAGCTAATACGTATTTAGTCAGAGTTAACCACATAACAAAGGAAAACCAGAACCTAAATAAAACAAAAAGTAATTCAAAAGCTTCACTCACTTGGATGAATACCTACTGCTGATAGTTTTATCAGCATTCCTACTTTTGACTATTATGTCACACAAGATGATTATGAGTTACTGTCTAATGTGACATAGGATTTGAGTACTGAAAGGATGAATAGACCAATTTAAGGAAAGTGTACGAACAACAATAACAGAAGAAAAAAATACAATCTGTTCAAAGAAAACCAAGTAATTCTGCCTCAAAGTACTATGGAAGCAGTTCTAACAGTGTAAGGCTTTACTGGAATAAGACAATGGGATGCCTAATAACTAGAGAAATCTGACTTTACCTTTCAAATAATAAAAAGTAATTGTGTAGGGAAGATAAGACAAAAATAGCATGCAAGATGAACTAGTATGGGGAAAATAAGAGATGTGATACTAACTAAGCCAGTGTTCTCAAATTCTTACTGTACAAAGCTATAATAATGCAGGTCTGTAAAATACAGAAGTCTGAGGATCACAGGCCAAGTCATGTTTTGAACACTGGTGGCTCACACTTGTAATCCTAGGTACTCAGGAGGCTGAGATCTTAGGACCATGTTCAAAGTCAGCCTGAGGACATGAGATGCTATCTGCCTTGAGCCATCTGAAAACCTGAAATGGAGCTGTGGCTCAAAGTGATAGAACACTAGCCATAAACAAGAAACCTCCGGGACAGCACCCAGGTCATGAGTTCAGGCCTCACAACTGACATAAAACAATAACAAAAAAAAAAAAAAAAGGAATAGAAGAATGGCTTTTCCACCCCCCTCGCTCCAACAGAAACCAGCATGGCCATTGAGTAGCACTGAGAGAAATTAGTAAAACAGCTAAGGTTTTAAGCCCAAACTCAGTGATATGAAACAAACCATTAAGCTGATCTAGAAAACATAAGTATAAAAAAAAATCATTCAGAAGCCAGGAGTTGGTGGCTCACATCTGTAATCCTAGGCTCCTCAGGAGGCTGAGATCTGAGGATCATGGTTTGAAGCCAGCCTAGGTAGGAAAGTCCATGAGACTCTTGTCTCCAGTAAACTACTCAGAAAAAGGTGGAGCTGTGGCTCAAGTGGTAAAGTGCTAGCTAGCCTTGAGAAAAAAATCTCTGGAACAGCACACAGGCCCTGAGTTTAAGCCCCAGGACAGGCACCAAAAAAAGATCATTTAGAATAGGTAACAAGGGCTTCAGAAAATTAATCTCCAGTATTTATATATAAGCATTAATGACAGTCAAGAGAACTACAACACAAAATGTGGGTTTACTCCTACTTATCTTTGAAGTCTATACTGACATATACTATATGTCATATAAACTACATGCCTAGTGAAAGATAAAATGAATATTCAAACTATGAAGATCGAGCTAGTCTAACAAAAATTTGAGAAAATGTTATTTAAAAAAAAAAAGGATGTGCTGGCACACACCTGAAACCTGAGCATTTGGGGAGCTAAGGCAGGAGGTTCATGTGCTCCACAAGACAGAGCTACATAGTAAGTACTAATAAGTTCCATACTTAATTTATGCCTAAAGGGCTTTAGGAAAAAACCTACAACTGAACAATAGTTAATAACAAACATTTTACCTGGTAAACCCTAAGCATTTTAACTTAGTATGACTTTGCTTAGCAATTCAATTTGAAAAATAATTGGCCTACCACTGCTTGTCTCTGATAATTTTCTGGAGATGAGAATGATCTCTGAATTATCTGTGATGATGGAGTCATATTATCCACAGTCCTTTCATATCTGTCAAAAACAAGAAAATCAACATATGCATTTAACAAGCTTTACTAAACATCATCATTGTAAATATAACCCAATTCTCCAAGATGAAAAGGAATAAGACACAGTATCTGCTCTTAGAGAGCAAAAAGAAAAATACAGGCAGGATATTTTCACGATTCTAAGAAATACATGACTAACAGATCCACTGAAAGCGAGACAGACAAGGGGTTCTATGTTAGACTGGTCAATCTAAAGGAGACCTTTTTTGTACTACTGCTTGCTACTTTCCAGTATCTCCTCACACCTATTCAGTTCTTTACAGCTCTAGGTATTGCCTTATTCCAATTGTCACTCCAATTCTCCTGCCAGGAAGCTACCAACAGCTTCTTTTTTGTGTGTGCCAGTCCTTGGGTTTGAATTCAGTTCTCTACCACTTTGAGCCACAGCACCACTCCTGGCTTTTTGGTACTAACTGGATGAAAGTCTCACAGCCTTTCCTGCAGGTGCTGGCTATGAACCACAATCTTAAGATCTCAACCTCCTGAAAGGTAAGCCAGCAAGAGCCAGCCCATGACCTGCTAGCAACAGCTTCTTAATTGGTGTTTTAATTCCATTCTTGCCCTTTCTAATCCATTCTCCTATTGAAGCAATTTTTAAAAATCAAAATATACTATTGTTATTCTACTTAAAATAAATGATGTGCAAAGCAACACAAGTAATAAAGCAGAAGAACAAAGACATAGGAATATAAGGAAGAAGTCAGTCACTCATTATGGATTTTGAGTTCATTACCTGAGGAAATTTCTGAAAAGTGACTTTAACAGTTAAGTGGGAAATTTTACCTGGTAGGAGATGTGGAGGTAGGGCTTGAGTTTACAACTTGATGCTGGGGATAGGAAGGACTGACATCCTGTGAGGCATGACTACTTCCTAGAATGAAAGAATTTCAACATTTCGAGCTGACAAGAAGGTTAATTTGAAATTTTGTCTCCCTCACAAAGAATCGATCCAAAAAGGGAAATAGGATTTAAAAAATAAAAACATCTAATATTTTCAATTGCTTTAGTTTTTCTTCAGTAAAAATTTTAAGTGCATAATATGAAGTTTGCAAAATCAAACAATCCAAGTAAGATACTATTTTAAATATCCATTCTGGCCATATTTGATTCCTACGCTAAATTATAATCCTGAATCTATGGAAGGTTTCAAGATATGATCAAGAACCAAAACTGTGAAAGTTGCTTCGACAAGCATTTTCAGAGAGAAAAATCCATGCTATTAAGAGCATGGATTTTAAATTTACACACATTTCGCAATAAAGCATACATGTTCTTAGGAATCCAAGATAAAATTTTAAAATCGGTTTAAATAGGACAATTTTCAAGAACCCATGTGTCAAGTTTAACTTTTTCAGGGATAAGTTTGCTACTCACATAATTTAAGAAATTATTTTCATCCAGAAATGTATTTAAAACTGAGCGTAACTTAAAAACAAAACAGCAAAGGAACCCTGCTCCTTGTAACATTGTGTCATAGTTACCTGATCTAAACTGAATTTTGATGGGCCTCCCAAAAAGTTTGATTCCATTAAGAAGATTCATTGCATAAGGAACAGATACTTCATGTTTGAAGTTGACAAAGGCAAATTGCTTTGGTTTACCATCCTTATCTTTTGGAATTTTCACCTTTATTACTGGCCCAGCCTACAAACAGAAGTGTTGAGAATTTAAAGAAGGCGATTTCAAGAAAATACTCACACTTAACAAGTCAAAAAGAAGACAACGTTCAAAAGCAACAGAAATGCAACCAGGAACTTAAAAAGTAGTAAGCAGCCAGGGAACACACGGATTTCATTTCGGTTAGGGGTAAAACAGCTGTTTATCACTTAAAACGGATACGGATTTCCTAGGGGAAGGGAACCCCCGTGAGCAAAGTGAAGTTGCCATTCACTGAATTTCCATTCCGCCACCACCCTGTGACGTTTTAAACAATGTGACCAATGGGGGGAGGGGGCGGGGGCCCTCCAAAGTTTCCCCCAGCCAGTCCCGGACAAGAACTGATTTTCCCCGACCTCCCCCCCACTCCACCCCCACCCCACCCACCCCCCCAAAAAAGAAACTTTTGTTATCAAACGCTGTTACAGTGTGGCTCATTCGAACCAGAAGGAACAAGATACTTAGAATCCTTCCAGTATCCTAATCCCGAAACGCTACGAGGCTGACTTCCTATCAAAGAGTGTGGGTTTCTTCTTCTTTTTGTTGTGTAATTCTTGGGGGCGGGGGGGGGGGGGAAAGGCGGAGGAATCTGTAGCGAGCTCGGACATTCACCAGCAGACCTCGGCGGAAAGAGATACGAAAGATACAACGTCTGAAGTCAAGGGGGGTGGGGGGGCAGAGAGGAAATCACCTCAAAAGGAAGACGGGGCGAGGAGGACAAAGGCGAGAGCGCTGGTCGGTAACGGCCCCGCGCGGGTGACCGACGGCCGCAGGGGTCCCCCGAACGCTGATCGCGGGGACGGGTGGATGCGGGGTCCCGCCACGGGGGTCCCCGCTGTCACTCTGGGGCTGGATGCCCGGCGATTCCGCGAGCCTCCGCGCCCCCCGGGCGCACCCCCAAGCCCGCCCCCCAACAGCCCACCTGCGGGGGAAGCTCCCCCCCCCCGACCCCACACCAGGCTCGCGCGGGAAAGACGTTGGACATGCCTCCCCCAAGCGAGCCGCCCAACGGACCGCAGAGCCGCTTACCTGGTGGAACAGCTCGAAGAGGAGCTCCTCGGTGACCTTAGTCTCGAGGTTACCCACGAAGAGGGTGCGATCCGCCTCCGCCGCCGCGGCCCCCATCTCAACACCGCCCCCTTCCCCACTTAGGCCGAAGGGTCGCGACCCACGCCCGCACTGCGCACGCTCAGAAAGTACGTCCGGGCCGGCGGATGATATCATGACGTACCAACGTCCGTCACGCACGTTCTTCGCGGCGCGCCGCGGCTGCGCATGCGCAGCGTACGCTCGCGAGAAGCGCGTCCGTGAGGTTTTGTGTTGTGTTTTGAAGGCCGCCGCGCTACGTGATGGCGCCCCCGGGTTAGTGAGGCCTCGCGTCCGAGGTGGGCCGGACAGACCTGTGGAGCTTCGAAGGCCCCCGTTTGACGCAGACACTGCGGGCAGTGTTTGACGATGGCCCTGAACTGTGCGTCTCTGTCGGCCGGCGACCAGCGGGACCGGGTGGCGTACCGTTGCTCCCATGGCGACCTCAGCCCCTCGGCCCAGGCCTTGGCCATGGTGTCCGGGGACAGCTTCCTGGTGGCCGGACCCGAGGCGGTGTATCCGGGACCGCGTCCGACGGTGCGGCCGAGCGTGCGGACCGAAGGCCGGCGGGGCCCCGGGGTCGGCCGGGGTGCGGCCCGTCTTCTCCGGAACCGCCAGAACCGCTTCTCGCCGTACCCGACCCCGGGAGTCAAGCTCGACCTGCTCCGAACCGTGCTCCAGCAGCGCCTGATCGCCTTCGGGAGCATCATCGCAGCCCGACTCGCCGTGTAGAGCCAAGCCCTTCCCCCTGTTAAGAGTTAGCTTGCGAACAAGGCCTCTCGCAAACCCTGCCCTTGGCGTCCCTGCGGTTTTCTTTCGAAAAAGGGTATTATTTTCACTCACAGATAGATCAGAATAAGCACGTAGGGGTTAACAGCAGCACAAAAGAAAAGGTTGCCACCGACCCAGACGTAGCTTGGAAGGGAGGTGAACAATTCTTCGTTGACACTTTTCCTGCCTGGGGGTTCCAGTGATCACATTTGCACAGCCCTCCGGGACAGATCTCCTTTTCTTGTCTCTTCTCTTTTTCTTTTCTTCTCTCTCCCTCCCCCCCCCCACTCTTTCTTTTTATTGGGCCTGGAACTCTGGGCCTAGGAGCTGTCTAAGCCACTTCTCAAGGCTAACACTCTTACCGTTTGAGCAACAGCATCATTTCCAGCTTTTTTTCTGGAATTTGAGATAAGTATCGTAAACTGCCCTGCGTGGACTACCTTCAAACCAATCCTCAGCCGCCTGAGTAGCTGGGATTACAGGCATGAGCCACCAGCACCCTGCTTGATTCCCTTTTTTTGTAATTAAAACGGGCCTCACTGCCTTCCTCCTTGCCTCACTTAATATCACTTTGTGTTGGTGAAAAGATGAAGTCCTTTCTATTACACTGGCTTAGGCTATCTTTCCCTAGCATTTTTAAGTCCAGTGTCCATGCTAACAAAGCATGAGCCATAAAACTCAACTATTTCAAATTACTCAAGCTAGTTAATTCCCTTCTTTGCCGAGGCACCAAATGGATTTTTACCTCGTGTTAGTCACTTTCTTATTTGTGCCCAAAGCTCCTTAATCTGCATCAGCATGCTAAAATATACTGGATAAACGTTAATCATGCAGGTACCTCTTCTCCGTTGACAGTAGTATCTTAGAAGTTCTTGTCTATATTCCAGCCATTCAAACGTATTTGGGGTGCTTCTCTCCTGTAAGCACAGTGGGGAAACTTTACACAGCCATATTCTAAACAAAGAGGCAACTAGACTAATGGGTAATTATCACACTGGATTGTTCATTAAATACAGTACATTGTACATTAAATACAGGGGCTGGGAAGGTGGCTCAGTGGTAGAGCGCTTGCCTTGCATGCCTGAGGCCCTGAGTTCGATTCCTCAGCACCACATAAGCAAAAAGAAAAAAGCCAGAAGTGGCGCTGTGGCTCAAGTGGTAGAGCGCTAGCCTTGAGCTGAAGAGCTGAGGGACAGCGCCCAGGCCCAGAGTTCAGGCCCCACGACCGGACCCAAAAAAAAAAAAATCACTGTCAGTTGCAGTGGCGTTCCAAGATAGTGCACTATCCTGGTGGGGTTTTTGTTTTTGTTTTGGTTGGCTGTAGGTTTTTTGTTTTGTTTTTCTTGCTTTTGTTTCCGGTCCTTGGGCTTGAACTCAGGTAGTCCTTGAGCTTTTGTGCTCAAGACGATCCAGACTCCAGATGGGTGCTGTACCACTTGAACCACACCTGCACTTCTGGGTGTGATAAGGGAGCATTAATTTAAGATAAAAGAGTCTCACAGATTTTCCTGCTGAGGCTGGCTTCAAATCACTTCCCTCAGATCTCAGCCTCCTGAGTAGCTAGGCTTCCAGGCAGGAGCCACTGTTGACAGTCGTGGGTTTGTTTTTAACCTGCTCACCTCTTTGCTGTTTTCCTTAGCCACATATTTACCAACAGCCATTATTGTTGATTTGCTTTTGCTTTTTTTTTTTTGGGGGGGGGGACAGGATCTTGCTCACTGTCCCAGGCTAGGGCTGAACTAGTGATCCTCTTTCCTTAGCCTTACTTACATGTACCCTGGTTTAAGTCAGTACATTTGAAGTGCCAGTTTTTTATAAGAATAAGTAGAGGAACTTTTTCCTGGTGAACTCTTGTCTATTATAGGCTTTCTTAGGATATTTACATTCAAATAAAAATTTCCACAGACTATACAATATCTGTTAGGACTACAATTAGATCAATGGGATAATTTCCATAAAGGATTCATGTGAGACATCGAGGAACCAAGTCATAAGGAGGAGGATGGACAGAATAATACCAGCTTTACTGAGAGTTGTATATAAGGTAGTGTGCTAGGGGCTAATATTCATTGTTTATTGAGATTATTGATGATTCTGTGCCTGAATTAGGCACTTAGAAGTAAGACTTATGTATCACTTACAATACATAATGATTTCATGGAGCTTTATGCTATTTAATGTTCATAGCAGCCCATAAGATAAATACTTTCATTTTGTTCTTGAGAAAGTTTAAATGAGATGAAGTAAATTTTCTGAGGTCATATAAAAGGTAGTAAATGGTGGAGCCTTGCAAGTTTTCAGTTGGGCATCTTTCTCTGAACTACACAACAAAATGATGTTAGGTGATTATTTTCTCTATTTTCCAAAGACAATATGTAACACACTACCCAGATGGCTAAAAGAAGTTGAAAGTTCATACTATGCAATGGATGACTCTAAGCTGAGTATTAAGAAAACTCATGATTGAAAAAGGAATCCCACGTACACCAAGTGTTAGGGTAGAAAAGTATAATGAAATTAAAGCTAAAATGGAGGGGAACATTTTTAAGACATCGAAATGCCTAATAATGGAAAACTACCATTTCAAAGGGTAACAAATCAGCAATCTGCAGGGCCAAATCAACATTGAATCCTCTGAAGAATTTTATTGCAATTCTCACCATATATAGAGTAGGACCAAAGGACTTCTTAGAGTCTTTTCCATTTAATCTATAATTCTGTTCTTTAAAAAAACAAAAATTTGGTTAGGGCTGGGAAGATGGCTCAGTGGTAGAGTGCTTGCCTCACATGCATGAGGCCCTGGGTTCAATTCCTCAGTACCACATAAGCAGAAAAAGTGGAAGTGGCACTGTGGCTCAAGTAATAACTACTAGCTAGCCTTGAGCCAAAGAGAAAAATTAAGATATAATACATAGGGGACTACGTCAGCAAATGAGGACAGAGAGGGGACAGTGCTGTCCATAAGAGGCACACCAGTTAATCTCATATAGTCATCACTTAGAAGACAATCTGGCATTAAATTGCCTCTGATTGTATTTCTTAGCATGTGAGGGAAAAGACTGAGGCTTGTAACTGATGGAACAAAAGTCTGACGTAACACTGCCCAAATTTACAAGAGCAAGAGAACCAAGAAAGACTGAGTTTCAGCTTGTCCACTCATGTAGTAATCAGAAATAAGACTGGTTGAATAATGGTGTATGTGTCAGAAAATAAAATGATGTGGCTTATTGTATTTCATTGGAGAGAGTCTTGTTCACAAATGTTCCATTATTTATGTCTGAATCAGTGGGTGTTCTTAACATCTGCCAAAGCAACCAAGTCCCAGTGTGTTCTAGTCACAAAGACTATATTGTAGACATAGAAACCAAAGCCCCTCTCTATGAAATTTCCTAAAACAGCGACAAATTTTTCCCAGAACAGGGCCAAAACTGGCACTGATGACTCATACCTGTCATCCTAGCTACTTAGGAGGCTGAGATTTGAGGATCATGGTTCTAAGCCAATCCAGACAGGAAAGTGTGAGACTCTTATCTCTGATGAATCACAAAAAAAAGAAGAAGAACTGTTTCAAGTGATAGACTTGAGCAAAAACAACTCAGGAACAGTGCCTAGGCCTGGCTGTAGTTCAAGCCCTAAGATTGGCACAAAAGAAGAAGAAAAAAGGCCAGGTACCAGATTCTAACTACTCGAGGCAGAGATCAGAAGGATCCTGGTTTGAGGTCGGTGCAGGAAAAACATTTTGAAAGGTCCATTTCAACCCACTGCTAGCATAGTGGTGTGTGCCTGGGACCTCAGCTAGCTGGAGGCTGAGATTGGAAAGGATTATGTTTCAGGTAAGCCTGCACCAGACACCATCTCAAAAGAAAAAGTTAATGTAAGTAGGAGAATCCCTGTCCATACCTACAACCACACACACACATCCATATGCTAGGTGGGCTTTCACTTAAGTTACAGCCCTATAGGTTATAGCATGTTGTTACTGTAAATCTTAAACTCTTAAGTCCAAAAAATTAATACTTCTGTGTTTTTTCACCCTTATACCTTCCAGGTTTCTTTTTGATTTGTTGCTGCTTTTGTTTGTCACCATTATTGTATCCTTCTAAGACTCAAATTTTCAGGCATTTGTTAATTTTTGTATATGCTCTGACAGATTTTAGTAGGCTTCTGGCGTGTTCTTAGGCATATGAACTAAAACCATGTCCAAATCAATTTTGTATGCACTGAGTGAAAAAGCTAAGGAACAGTACCCCGGTCCTGAGGTGAAGTTCCAATATCCTCACAAATAAGCCAGGAAGTAAATATTTTAGAGTTTGTGGTCCAAGAAGCAAAACCAAACTATGTATGTATATTTACATACACACACACACACACACACACACACACACACACACACACACACACACACACACATATACACATCAGAAGAAACAAGTTTTCACAAAATTTCTTCTAATGAAATTCACAATAGAATGATACAGCTCTTCATGATACTAGGAGGAGACAAAATTCTTTTGGGGAGCATAACATTTCTCTTGGCTGGATGGAGTTCAAAGTTGTATTCTTTCTTTTTCTTTTTTTGTTGGTTCTGGGGCTTGAACTCTGGGCCTAGGCTCTGTCTGTCCCTCAGCTCTTCAGCTCAAGGCTAGCACTCTACCACTTGAGCCACAGCACCACTTCCGGTTTTCTGTGAGTGGTTTATTGGAGATAAGAGTCTCATGGACTTTCCTGCCTGGGATGGCTTTGAACCATGATCCTCAGATCTCAGCTTCCTAAGTAGCTAGGACTACAGGCATGAGCCACTGGCAAAGTTGTATTCTTTATACTATGAAAAAAACAATTACCACCATTCATTTGTTAATGCTGAATTTAATACGATGTTATATAGTCCATCTTTGAAAATGTCTTTTCATACAGATAGAGCTGGCCAAGTACTGACACGAGTCCATGAGCATATGGCTTTAATTGAGCATATTCACTGCTTCAAAGGCATTCACACAATTTTATTGAACATCTTCTGATA